ATAAACAAATAGTATGCATGCGTGTGTGTGTCAAATATACATGGTAGTGTGTGTAATGTTTTCTTTATTGATTTAATGTATCTTTTATGCATTCTTTTAAAAAAACTAGAGGTCCGCAGTAGTCGAAATTCGACTATAAATAATTGGAATTGTAAGTTTGTACACTATTATGATTGTATTTTATACTTCTATAATCACAAATTTCGCCAAAACTATACTATAAAAAATATTAACAAACACAAACAATATTTAATCTATTCTCAATTTGACAACAGACGTTAAGAACAAAAGTTTGACAATAAATAGTATGCATGCGTGTGTGTGTCAAATATACATGGTAGTGTGTGTAACGTTTTCTTTATTGATTTAATGTATCTTTTATGCATTATTTTAAAAAATATTATAGCATTGTGCACTTCTTCTTTTTTTTTATGATTGAAGAATTACTGGTGGCCCGGAGGCCTTTCCAGTTTCACCAGGACAAGGCACTTCTTCTCTATATTCTCTATAAGTGTGGAAAATTTCATACTTCTCCGTCCGCACAATTTTCGTAAAAAAGGATACAAAGTTTTTGCTTCACGTATTAATATATAGATTATGTCATTAAAGCATCATCGTAAGAACTGGATTTAGTTCATCATTGCACAACGGACAACTAGCTACAAAATAATAAGTGAACACACTCCTTAACATGCTTATTATCTTGAAAAATTCATTAACTTTAATGGTTGCCCAGTAAAAGGCATTTTACTTATTTTTCTTCTGTATGTTCGATTGCAAAAAGTTCTTCCTCTTAGAAAATATTTTTTTGATTTCTTAGATGGGCGGACGAGCCACGGCCCACCTGGTGTTAAGTGACTACCGAAGCCCATAGACATTGACAACGTAAATGCCATCCACCTTGAGGCATAAGTTCTAAGTCTTAATTTTTACAGTGCAACACCTGCCCCACCCTTCAAACCGAAAAGTATTATTGCCTGACGGTAAATATAGGCAGAGTGATGGTACCTACCAGTGCGGACTCACAACATGTCCTACCACCAATAAATCACACTCTCACTCACACTCACAAGACGTCCTACAATCAGTAAACATTTTAGACTAACTATATATCGATGGAAGAAAACAGAAGAAGTCGTAACTTGAAATGCCCAATTTTACAATTTTTACTTGAAATACCCAGAGCTATAAAAATATTTAAAAAATTCATAACTCATATTATATTTATAAAGATAGAAAGTTGAAAATTGGTATGAAATTTGATGAAAAAAGAAAAAATATGAAAAATTTAATCGTAGGTAAACGAGACCATTTGAAGCGATTTTCTTTAGATTTTCTTGTTTAAAAATGGCTTCAAATGGTGTTCAAATGGTCAATTACCATATTATGATGATAAAAAGTGATTTAGTCTAAAATGTAAGTAACGACATTTACGTTTTTCTATATTCTATTATGAATGTCTATTATTTCTATAGCTAGTTTCAAAAAATTACCTTTTAATTTGTATTAATATTGATTTGCGGTATTTAAAAGCAAAACCTGAGTTAGTGTTAACTGATTTTTAACATTGTTAAATCAATTTAAATTCAGATATCGGAGCTTTTTTAACACATTCAATCTAAAACGAAATATTTTATTTATTATTTTTTTAAGCACCACAACGTTTCCGCCCTCTCTGCGTCTATTAGAATATTACAATCACAGCAATTTATCATTCAAGAGAGACTTAACTTTCGTGTTTCACCTATCAAAACAATGTTTCTTCTGATCGACGCGAAATAATTAAATTTAAATGTAATAATCTCGTAGTACGTACGATGCTACGGGTATCAGTCGATCGATTCAAAGCGTAGTTAGGTTCGCGTAATATTGATCCATTTTAACAGCTAACGTTTGACGTCTGTCAGTTTTATTTATTTAGAACGGTTTATTAGTGAAAGTAAAACGTAAAATTACTCGTAGGTATCGGTCATTATATCTATATATTAATACGTGAAGCAAAAAGTTTGTATCCCTTTTTACGAAAATTGCGCGGACGGAGGAGTATGAAATTTTCCACACTTATAGAGAACATAGAGAAGAAGTGCACAATGCTAATTTTTTTTTTTTAAATAATGCTTAAAAGATACCTTAAATCGATAAAGAAAACATTACACACACTACAAACCATGTATTTGACGCACACACGCATGCATACTATTTATTGTCAAACTTTTGTTCTTGACGTCTGTTGTCAAATTGAGATTAAATATTGTTTGTCTTTGTTAATATTTTTTATAGTGTAGTCTTGGCGAAATTTGTGATTATAGAAGTATAAAATACAATCATAATAGTGTACAAACATACAATTCCAATTAATTATAGTCGAATTTCGACTACTGCGGAACCTCTAGTTACAATAAATATGTAATCATATAGTTCTAACAAAACGAAGAAATATATTATTTTGCCCGCCGCTACAAGGTTGCGCTGTTGAATTTTGATCAATTGTCAAATGCTACCTATTAAAATGACCTATAAGTAATTAATCGAACTATGCATGGTATAAACTATATTTATTTTTAGAATTTTGTATAGAAGTATATTTTTTCACTTAAGTAACTTTACTGGTGGTAGGACCTCTTGTGAGTCCGCACGGGTAGGTACCACCGCCCTGCCTATTTCTGCCGTGAAGCAGTAATGCGTTTCGGTTTGAAGGGTGGGGCAGCCGTTGTGACTATACTGAGACCTTAGAACTATATCTCAAGGTGTGTGGCGCATTTACGTTGTAGATGTCTATGGGCTCCAGTAACCACTTAACACCAGGTGGGCTGTGAGCTCGTCCACACATCTAAGCAATAAAAAAAAATTGTATAGTAGGCTTCTTTTCAAAACGTGACTGATTTTATTAAACAAGCCATAGCACTCGACAAATACTGAGGAAATTGGAATATTCTGTTCCTTCAAAAATAGGTACTAATGTGTGGTGTTATCATGATATTTTGTTGATATTATTATATAATTATATCTTGGAATGCACTATAGGTGATTTATGTTACAAGGATGAACACGGTGGCGATTAGTATGATGTTAAAAAAAATGATGGAATCGTCTCAAGCATTACAGGAGAAAACACAAACACCTCCTTTTCCTTAAAATAGACGGAAAAGGACAGTGTACGTAATAACTATGCGTATTATTTGATAAGAAAATTACTGTTTTAAATTATCTCGTCATGTACATAGTTTGTTATTTCTAAGAATCCACAATTATGTACTTAATGAATTAAAGTTATTGTAAGAGTTTTGGTGTTGTCGCCTTAATACATAATGAGGTTATATGAACTTGAGAAGATTCGTATTAATGTATCTTAACACATCACATTACGCAGACATTAGGTGAAATAACCGTAACATTACAGCTTAATTAAAATTTACGGCTTCTGTGACTAAAGTTTGAAACTATCCTTAATAAATAACGCGAAAATTTGTTAACCCTGTTTTGCAATGTTGCTCTAATAATTCATTCCAAGCAAGTCGATTATTAACAAGGTACGTACCATATACGATGTTATAAAATATATCTTTATTATGGCAACATTAAAAAAAATTTAGTCGACTTGTTTTCGCCCGCCGATTGACACGATAAATAGTATGCAAAGATAATCTATTTTCAAACAGAAAAGTATCCTTAATTATATTTTCTGTACATTTACCTATTTATAATATAATTTATTTCACCATATTTTTCCCGGTGCACAATCATAAGTATGCATGAATTTTATTAGCTTGACCATTATATAGCTATCTAAGTATATAAAGGAAATTTCTTTTTCTTCTTTTTTTAACCTAATGTCCTGGATAATCAAGGTAAAAAAGATTGTAATATTTGTTCTAGTTTTGCTATTAAAGTATATCTATTTTTGTAAATTGTTTTTATTTGTTTTTTGTTTTTTTTTTGTGTTCAGAATCCACATCATAAGGTTTTACTGGAATCTAAATATGTACACCATAGAACTTACATATATTCACTTTGAGACAAGCTGAACTATAAATTAGTATTAGATTTTTTTAATCTATGAATACTACGTCTAGTTACGCATCATTTATAAGAGGCACTTAGAACTAATCATAAACACCCATCTGCCTATTTACGGCATGAAGTACCTATGCTTTCTGGATTGGCATGTGGTAGAGCCTCTATAGAAATGGGACTACGATTTTTGCCTCAAACTCGGTATGGGTATTCCCTGCCTATTCTAGCTTGCTCCCTAGCTCACGGGCTCAACTTAAGAGAATTTTCTAAGACTAGCTAGCAAGGGCAGTGCTTCGCAAAATCTACCACCGGATCGGAATCGCAACCCACTGAGAAGATCCGACGAGAAACCCAATCGGTGATGCCGATCTATGATCTACATCAAAAAAGTTGTTGTACATGAAAATAATATAACAACAATAATATAAAAATGAGTCTAGCGGAAAAGTGGCGTAAAGAGTTTAGTGAATATCACCTAAAATTTCTTATTATTATTATTGGTGTTTTCTACGAATTTAACAGGTGAAGATCACCGTCTATTTGTTACCAATCGGTTACCCGAAAAAACGGATACCCCGTCTGTCATACCGGAACCAGGATACTTTCTCAGAAGATTGAGGTAAGTAGGATAATCGTATGAGTTTCCTATATTAGACGAGACGATAATGCTTTTGATTTTCGTGTTAATGTCATTATCTGGTTTTAATGAGGTGTTTTTTTTTTAAATCAATGACTTTTCATTACAACGCTTACGAATTTAACTTTCTTAGTTTTAATAATAAAAATAAATGTTGAAATGGCAACGTGATTTTATTAAGTATTCTTAACAGCCAAAACCAATGGCAAATTTCTTTATTTGTATCAAATAAAGTTTTGGAAGGTATTTTTTTTTTATTTCAATTCAAAAGCTTCAGGTGTCCACTTCAAGTAAACTTTCCGTCCTAAATATACTTAGTGCAAAAAATATTTTATTTCAGACAACTCACCTCAAAGATACTCCGTCAGCCGAGGACACCGTGAGGAAACTCTGAGTATATGAGTTGTGGCGCGTTTTGCAGTGGAGTGCGCTACGGCGGCAACTAGCGGCGGTTTTTAAATGTTGTCCACAGAGCTAGGAGGTGGTAGAAGCGGGCGTGGGACGCAAATGACGTCACTTTCGTATCGTTCAGGTCCACTGAAAATTTACTTGTGTTAGTGTTATGTGCGAGTCCTGAAGATATGTAGTTTTGTTATATTTATTGCTTTTTTTCTGTAGAGTTACGGCAATCTGACAGACCCGCCGGAAGTTATTTCTGATAATAAAATCGACTACTACAAAAGTACATAAATCAACTATAGTATATATTTGTATGAATAAGATGATCATTATTTGTAAATTTTTTGTTGTGTATATAATGTCTGATGGATATTTGGAACGTTATTAAAAAACTTATTAATTAAAATGTTATAAAAAGATTATTATGACAAAATTACTTATTATAAGACCATATTATGTTTCCATATATATAAGTAAGAACTTTTGTTGTTAATAATTTAAAGAGTGAATAGGGATAAAAAATAATTCGACAGATATTTTCAACATGTTTTTTCCATTCACATTCCCTTTGTCCCTTCCGACGAAGCAATGTCAGCTAGTTAAAATATGGCAACCATACAATTTCACGAAACCTCCCGATTAAAAGTAAAAATAATCCAATTATTATATACCTCTCGAACCATTATAACAGCATATTTCGATCAATATTTTCACCAAAACCAACGAATTACAAAAACAAACAAATGAATCCTTGCCGTATCTATTTATCAGCAAGCCTACTTTACCCGCCCAACAATTGTCGGCCACTCGCAACACAGATTTCAACTTGAACTACGTTAGACAGAGACGCAAACATTCGCCGTCGCACTCGTCGTGCTCGCACTCAAACTTATCGCATCAAGTTATTAAAGCTCCAATCACTTCATTTTGTTGTTTTTATTTTTTTATTGCGATGCGAAGCGATGCTTTAATTACGCTAGTGTTTAAAAAATTGTAACTAACGACTACATATGTATGTATACAAATATTTTCTTGATTTATTTTCTATATGTAAATGTGACTATTTATGAATGTAATCACACAGTAAAAATATAATTGATGATTAGACTCATATGGTCATCTGGTCCCGAGTTAGAAGTCCCTGTACTATGGAAGCAAGAGACTGATATACTTATTTATAATCCTGTATCTTAATAATAATATATAAAGTTCTTCTCTCCGTGTGTATGTTAGTGAACTCTTCCTAAACGGCTAGATAGATTTTATTGAATTTTTTTGCGTGTTCTAGTGGTTTCGATAATGGTTTAGATTCACAATTGTCCAAAAATAATCACAAAATAGTCCAGATTATTAAGACTTTCTCAAAAAAGTTCAAAAGATTCGGATTTACAACGTGTGTCTGCTAGTATATACATATAATAATACAGGTTTAATAAAGAACTCAACACTGAGCAAGGTTGCATCGATCGTCGAGTTAGAAGGGCTAACAAAACCACCGAATCAATCTAATCATTATGAAACTTGAAGTCTATTTATACTTCCAACGACTATTCATAATATAACACACATAATGTGGTATATATATGATATTAGAAGTATACAAAAAAAAAAATTTCAATCAGTAAGTACACCGCGTTTTAATTTCTAACCTTAGATGATTCTTACCCACCTGATGTTATTCTAGAAGAAAACTCAATAGACACTATGAGCTCAATAGACACGTCTTAGTCGACTATAAGCTCAATAGACATGTCTTAGTGGGTTATGAGCTCAATAGATATGTCTTAGTCGACAGCGACCTCAATACAAATATCTTAGTCAACTATGGACTCAATAGACACGTCTTCGTCGACTATGGACTCAAATATTTTTGCCCATATCTTTCCAATTAGAAGACTATGGCTTAGAGTCGGTCTGTAATTCAGCTTTTGATTTGCATAGTGAAATAATTGCGGGGTAGTCATTGATTACGCTGATTTGTCTAGTGATTTCTTTGATCTACATTTTTTGTTCTGTTCTGGACTCATATCATAAAACCATTGCAATTCAATTAGCAAATACTGTTTTTACACGCTTTATATTAGCTTCACTTGTATGTATGTTTGTATGTTTGTAACTGACTCCTATAAACGCGATTTTGACCCACTTTAAACGGCCAGATTTCATTCAAACTTTGTAGGTTTATCGAGGACCGATGACAATACACTAATTTGATAAGATTATTCCATTATTCAATCTGCAAAAAGAATTTAAATAAAAAAATGAAAAATAAATAATATTTTAAAAAATAAATAAAAAACACGCTTTATATAAAATACAACAAAAAATAGAAAATACTCTTTAATAAATTTAAATTCAATATTGTGTAAAAAAAAATTTATTTTATTGTAAAAAAAAGCCTGGGGTGCATGGTGTTATAAGTTATAAATATTTTTCTGACAGATATGAGTAGAAGAATTATTATTTCAATAATATCTTAAAAAGCACCCCACGCTTTTTTACAATAAAATTTTTTTTTAACTCTATTTTCAATTTAAATTTATTAAAACTTATTTTCTATTTTTTAGTTGTATTTTATATAAAGCGTGTTTTTTTTTTAAACTATTATTTATTATGATGAAATATTACATTCTATATATTATAGTATAACCGTGCAGAATAAATTTTCGAAGAGCATGTACCTAAGCGATTTATTTAAAAATTATAACTTAGCTCACGACTCCGTTAGCGGTGTGCTCATTCAAATAAAAATACTAGCTTGGTATTTTACGATACCAGGTATCCAATGATAACCCATTAATAGCAAAAAGATGTCACCATCCACATTGATGCTATGTAAATCAAGAACCTGACTCTTCCTACAACAAACCAATTATCTGTTCCATTCTCCGACCTGATTTCTCAAGATGAATATCGACAATTACACTATGACGTCTGTATGTATGAGAAGCTCAAATAAAAAAATTACATCACAATATCTTCTTCGGCTAGTCGTAGACGTCACTAAAAATACTTTTACAGTTTAATCTTTACTAGAGGTCCCGCAGTAGTCGAAATTCGACTATAATTAATTGGAATTGTAAGTTTGTACACTATTATGATTGTTTTTTCAACGCCAAAACTACACTATAGAAAAATATTAATAAAGACAAACAATATATAATCTATTCTCAATTTGACCACAGGCGTCAAGAACAAAAGTTTGACAATAATTTAATAGTATGCATGCGTGTGTGTGTCAAATACATGGTAGTGTGTGTAATGTTTTCTTTATCGATTTAACGTATCTTTTATGCATTATTTAAAAAAAATATTAGCATTGTGCACTTCTTCTTTATATTCTCTATGAGTGTGGAAAATTTCATACACCTCCGTCCGCGCGATTTCCGTAAAAAGGGATACAAAGTTTTTGCTTCACGTACTAATATATAGATATTTTTTTTGCTTAGATTGGTGGACGAGCTCACAGCCCACCTGGTGTTAAGTGGTTACTGGAGCCCATAGACATCCACAACGTACATGCACCACCCACCTTGAGATACAAGTTCTAAGGTCTCAAGTGTAGTTACAACGGCTGCCCCACCCTTCAAACCGAAACGCATTACTGCTTCACGGCAGAAATAGGCAGGGTAGTGGTACCCACCCGCGCGGACTCACACGAGGTCCTACCACCAGTAATTTAGTCGTCCGTAACTATTATAATGGCAATTAAAAAACACAACATTGAAACGTCAAAGTACTTTTAACCTAATATAAGATAAGCCATGAGCTTGCTAATCTAGTAATACGTTGGGAAAAGAGATGAAAACCTCAATTATATTATAAACTAGCGACCCGCCCTCGCTTTGCTTCGGAAACATTAAAACACACATGAAACCAAAAAAATAAAATAAAATAAATAATAAAAAAAGTAGCCTATGTTCATCAGGGACAATGTCGGCTTCTAATGGAAAAAGAATTTTTCAAATCGGTCCAGTAGTTTCGGAGCCTATTCGAAACAAACAAACAAACGAATCTTTCCTCTTTATAATATTAGTATAGAAGAGCTATCCGACATAGATTACAAAAAAAACTCTCAACAATAATAGTAGGTTTAGAATGTTGAATTATCATAATATTGAAAGTATTAAACAAATTTCATAGTACATTTTCCACGGGCGCTCAAAAAAATAAGCGAATCGGAGGAAAACTTTCATATTGAATTGATCAGTCTTCTTGTGTTGAACGGGGTGACGGTTGAATACTAAATAACCAATTTCATTTACTTTATTTTTTATTAAATAAACACTACGGTAGCAGTTACAAAAAAAATCTGTAAAATGATCGTAATGTAATTGCAAAGTTACTGTTCATTACGACGATTATAATACTTTGTAAACAGAGGCGGGAGTCTAATGTGCCGGTCGGAACAGATATGCTATACCCTGGACTTGCGAAGATAAACTGAGCTAGCGCAAGATAGTCCAAGAGACAATTATTCAGGGAGGCCACGACCCTTAGCATTAAGGATTATCAAGGCAAGGAGGAGAAAGCATTTTCACCCCTTCAACATTTAGAGGAAAACAATCTGGTGAATTTTTCTTAATCTCTTTTTTTTCGATGCTTACATGGGTGCTCACGGGCCACCTAGTGTTAAGAAGTTAACGGAGCCCATAGACGTCTACAACGTAAATGCCACCACCTACCTTGAGATATGAGTTCCAAAGTCTGACTTTTTACAACGGCTGCCCCACCCTTCAAACCAAAACGCATTACTGCTTTACGGTAGAAATAGGCAGGGTGATGGTACCTACCCGTGCGGACTCACAACATGTCCTACCACCAATAAATTTATTATTATTATTTGATTAAAACATAAATTACAGTTCCCGTAATTGTCTGAAACCCACGGGTCGAATGTCATATCATTACGAAAAGCACTTTTCTGAAACATAAAACTTAGAAGGGTTGATGTCAATGCGGTCCGTTGACCACATAACACCAGGTGGGCCGTGAAGTGGTCCACCCATTTGAGGAATAAAAAGTTCGGTATTTCTTTCTTCATTATTAG